CTTTTAGCTTTTGTTATTGTTAAAGTTATGGCTCTGGTGTTTTGTTATTTCTGCTATGCTAATGTGGGTGAGGAACCGGATGCTAATATGGATGATGATTGGGTAAATAATCAAATTACATGGAAAATAAAATATAAATCCAAATCAGGATGATGCAGGGTCGGACGAAAGCCGATTCAAGAGCGCCTGGATCTAGGTCTAGGTTCTCCACGAGAACCCAAATCCGAGTTCACCCTTTTAGCTTTTGTTATTGTTAAAGTTATGGCTCTGGTGCTTTGGGATTTCTACTATTTTGTTAAAGTTATGGCTCTGGTGTTTTGTTATTTCTACTGTGCTAATGTGGGTGAGGAACCGGATGCTAATATGGATGATGATTGGGTAAATAATCAAATTATAGGGAAAGTAAAATATAAATCCAAATTAGGATGATGTAGGGTCAGACAAAAGCCAATTCAAGAGCGCCTGGATCTGGGTTGATTTTCATGAAATCATAGGGATTTCAACATAAGGTATCCAGGATAAGCCATGGATATGTAAACTTCGAGGACAAAATTGTATTTTAAAAATTGAACCGGAATGTGTTGATATAGGTGTTGGTCCGGCGTGTGTCCGTATCAGTGTCCAAATATATTATATATCTCGTAAATTATAAATTTGATAATAAAAATTTAACACTATCAAATATGAGATTATTTTTAATTAATATTTTATATATTTTGTGTATATATAATAACTAAATTAATTATAAATATGTAGTGTTAGAATTAATAATTTAATCAAAGTATATATATGTATAATATTAGTTAAAATTAATCTCATATTTGATAGTGCTAAATTTTTATTACTAAATTTATGATTTATAAGATATATAAATAAATGCTACTACTAAATGGTTAAATATTAATATATATATCTACAAAATTTTAACATAATTGACAACCATTATTGGTTGTTGATTATGTAAATATAATTGGCAAAAATTGTGTTGCTTATGCATGTATAATCGACAGCTAGTATTGACTATCGATTATACTTATATCCCGCCTCACCTAACCAAAAAAATTGAATTTCACCATGTAACAAATTCAAAACATAACCAAAGAGCATAACTGATAAAAATGTTATTGATTATACCATTTTTATATATAGAACTAGAAACAGAACCTTCAAACATCCTCTCATCTCATTTTCTCCAAAATTTCCAATCCTCCTTCCCCTTTCTATAGATGTGCGCACTCCATTTTTCTCTTCTACCTTTCTTCATCTTCTCTCTTTTCTTCTACCTTTCTAAATCTTTCATTGTCTTTTTCCTTTTTAACTCTCCTTATCCTCCCTTCTCTTGAAACTTTACCATTTTAATTCTTGGTCTTTTCCCTTTCTAG